TATCTATCTATCTATCTATCTATCTATCTATCTATCTATCTATCTATCTATCTATCTATCTATCCATCCATCCATCCATGAGCTGTGGTGGCATAGTGGTTAGAATGCAGTATTGCAGGCTAATCCTGCTGACTCCCTATTGCCAGCAGTTCAACAGTTCAAAGCAGGGAAGACAAGCTAAATCAAACTGGATCTAACTTCTTCTTTTTTAAGTCTGTCCACGAGGCATGGAAAAGTTGACCTTGGACACGGAGGTGTTTTTCTCCAAAGTCCTGCTTTGTCGGTTTCATTTCCTTCTTCTTCCCCCTCCCCTCCCCCCCTGGATTATATTTTCAAGGTATGTTTTCAAGTGGTACTTCCATTGAATGCTTGTTATCTCCTGACAGCCACCTTGTATGCCATCTGCTGGCAGAAGAGCCGAGACCTCAGCAGGAAAGAAATCTGGGGAAGAAGAAGCAAAATAAATAAATAAATATTGAACCAGGAGCTTTGGATTAATTGCACCAGACTTTAAATTAAGCCAGTGGCTTAATGCCTTTTTTTGGTCCCTGTTTTGCTCTCCCTAGAAATTCAGTCACAGAATCTGCCAAGACGTTTCTCTTTCAGCCAGCCAATATTTTGGGAATATGTGTGAAATAAATAAGAAAGACCAGCTTGATAGCTCTGCAGGAATGGCTCTGCAGCCAAAGAGTTCTGCTCCCAGCCTCTGAAAAGTATCTTTTTTTTTCATGTCAACGGCTGCTTCTCGTTGAGTTTTGTTTGCTTTGAAGACAGCAAGGCCCTGGGTGGCTGCTGACTTGCGGTTTCCAATTTTGTTGCTGTCACAAATGAGTTTTCCAAGTTCAGAACAGAAGAGAGACAGGGAAGGAAGGAAGGAAGGAAGGAAGGAAGGAAGGAAGGAAGGAAGGAAGGAAGGAGACAACGGAGGCAGGGAAGAAGAGGGGAAGGACATTACTGCAAAGTTGGGCAAGGGATCTATGTCATCTAAGGCTGGTTTAGATCTTCTTGCCAGAGTTTATAAGCTAAGCTTTTAAGCTTATAAACTAGTTTACAAAGTGTAAGCTAAGCTGGTATCCTCGCGGAGGAAACTGACAGATCTCTTCTTTCAAAAGTAAAAATATTTTCTTTAAAGGCTTCCAGAGAACTGTCCATGAGATCATCAGGACTCCGAAGAGTCTTCTTCAACATCATCTGCTCTTCTTCAGCAGGGGTGAAATCCCCACACCTACTTGCACTGATGTTGTTATCTAGTTGGGTAATGAAGCACCTGCAAACAAACAACCAAGCTCAAAGAACACTCCTCTTCTTCTTCTTCTTCTTCTTCTTCTTCTTCTTCTTCTTCTTCTTCTTCTTCTTCTTCTTCTTCTTCTTCTTCT